CTTAATTGCAGAACCCTTTGAATTTTCCCTTTTAAATGGATTCTTTTGAGATTTCCAGCTTCCCAATTTCCTAGGCGATCCTCTTGGAGTCTGCTCCGTCAGGGATTCCCAGGATCCCGATGCACAGCACACATCTACACTGCAGAAACAATGATCTGGCCATTAGAAAATCCAGGACAATAATTAAATTTGTATCGAACTAGAACCAAACACATGAAAACTTTGAAGTTCACTCCCACTGCATTGCTTGCCAATGTAAACTTGGCAAATTGGAACACAGCAAATCAATTGGATGGGTATGTTTTGCAACAGTGTCACAGGTGAACTTTCTAAAATAAAAGAAAAGCAAAGTAATATTTATGTTTCATGTCAGTTTCGCAGAATTTGTGCACACACATTTGAAGAGCACCAGCTGTTCTGGATCAGTAAACACTCCCAATCCGTAAACCAGAAGACCAGACTGCAGGCCTGAATTGCGTCAGTTCAGCCTTTGCCATCTCAGTTCTTCCCCAAGTCACTAACTTTTGCCAACGTAAAGTTCCCAAGCAACCAGCAGTCCTGAAATGCATCACTCTCCCTGGTTCACCTGCAAGTGCCAACAAGTTGTTCCACCATGCAGCACATCACCAGCAAATCTAGCCCTTTCTTGGATATTCATAAACGCACACATTCCAGTGAAGGCCATTAAACAGCAGATTTTCTTCCTCAGTAGGCTTTGGGACACAGGAGACTAATTGTACCATCACTGCAACTGCTGAAATGCAGCACAGTGAACTTTGAATTAACAAGACATTACAGCAGATCAGGTATGTGTGGCTGGGTAATATGTCCTGCACCCCAAAAGGTCAGAGACCTACAGTACATTGTTGTTCCATGCATGCAAAAACTAGCCACAGAGCATCCCACATCAGGACCAGTTGCTATTTGTCTTTAATAAATGCTGATTAACTTCACCCTGGATTGCTGTCTCAAAAGTTTCTTCACCAATGCCAAGTGACTGGTCTGTATTTCTCATGGCTGCCCCACTTGCCTTTTGAAAATCTGTGCTCTAACGTTTGCAATCCCCAAATTCTCTGGCGCAAAACCCCCATACGTTTAAAGAACTGGAAAGCTGCAAGCTAGCACCCCAACAATTGCAACAGAAAATGCTGTAGAAACTCAGGAGATCTGGCAACATCTGTGGAGACAGAAACAGAGTTAACGTTTAGAATCTAACATGACTTATCCCAGAAAATCAAGCTCCAGGAAAGAACAAAACATCCAGCATGTGATCATGTCAGCACTCAGTGGATTGGTATTTCAGAGAATGCAAGCTCAAATTCCACCCTAGACACTTAAAAAGAGAATTTGCAAAAACTTGACCATGGAGCTATCAGATTAGTGTACAAACAGGATTATTACATGCCCTTTAAGTAAGAAAATCTATACTCCCTACCCAGTTGTACCAATGTAACTCTAGTCCCACAACAAGCTAGTTAACTCTTAACTACACCAGGAAGTGACTTAGCACAACATTCAGTCAAAGCAACTAAGAATCACAGAATCCCTACAGCGTGGAAGCAGGTCATTCGACCCATTGAGTCCACGCCAAACCTCCCTCCACCTAGGCACTATGGGTAATTTAACATGGCCAATCCAATGAACCTGCACATCTTTGGACTGTGGGAGAAAACCCACGCAGACATGGGGAGAATGTCTGTGTGGAGTTTGCACAGTCACCCGAGCATGGAATCAAACCCGGATCTCAGATATGGAGAGCAGCAGTGCTAACCACTATGCTGCCCAATCGGAACAATAAATTTTAACGTTGCCAGCGATGTTCACATTCCAAGAATTAACAGATAAATATTCAGAAAGATGTTCTTTATTTAGTACTAGCTATGCTATATCCTAAGAAGTTACACCTAGGTTTTCCACAATCTAATCATATTAACTCCACCTGAACATTAAAGAGAGGTAGACTGTACAGACAAGCAGGCCATTGTACCTGAGCCAAATAAAAACAATTCCGCCAAAAATGCTTCCCAAGCGGACAGGAGGCCAAGAATGACAGCAGTGATTTATTTATTCAATCACTGTCAGAACTTCCAAGAGTAGCCTAACACGTGGAAAGCTCCTATAACATCGGATTGCTCTCCACATTTAAATACTCGGCCCACGTTGCAAAAGCTCAAAAATGTGAACACTTGTGATTAATCCCATTGAATAAATATTGATTTTGTACAACGTAGATATTAACAAAAACCATTATCAGTATAACGGATCTGTGTATTTAAGTCAGATTATTTTACTTGGACAGTGATCACATTCATATAATACTATTGCTGGTTGTAATTACTCTTGCCAGGAGATCTGCTGTCATGGTATCACATGTTCATCTGCCTTGTGACATCTCCACACGTTCACTGTAACTCATCTGCAACTGTTCTGGGACTTCAATCAGCCAACTAAACCTAGGTTGTCCCCTCTTTCCATTTACCTCCACCTTCCCTTTGAGAAGAGGTCACTAGCTTTTCCACTCTGAAATACTGAATTTCTTCCCAGGATCGCATCTTTTCACTCTTAGAATTTCAAATACTTCTTTATTTGCTTTTTGGTCTACATATGGAATACCTGCATACATCTCAGCATTTACATTTCAAAGGCCTTTATTTTCATCACTAGATCTTTACTTACGCAAAACTACCTGTTCCTTTATTTAAAAAGGCCTAGCCACTGGCAAGCTTTATCCTATTCAAAGGAAGTTTAATACAATGCTCTCACTTCCCAAAATTCCCAAACCTTTTAAAATCAGGGTTAACCAACATTTTGCCTACATCAGTCTGATGAAATAAATTCAAACAGTATTGCCAGTTATTCATTACTTGTCTTTTCCTACGTACCCAAGCACAGATCTTCCTCAACTTTGTTCTAACCAATCGTGACCATCAAGACAAAACTTCCAATTGCAGGCAAATTAAACACTCCTGTGTCACACAGGGAGGCCGTTTTTCCTCAACACCCAATCCCTCCACGTGCACCATTCATGCTTAACAGAGACATTGGCACGATTGATTAAAAGCAGTCATTTCTCAATACAAAGAGTTAATTACTAAGTCTTCACTTGAAATGCATTAAGCACAATGACTAATATGGGCAATGCAACGATTCTTTACACACCTTATAATTTCTTCTGTTTACTACTTTGTCTGCTGCTTCACAACACACCCCGACCTGTACAACATGTATTCTTTACACACTGGAGATTTGTGATGATAGGAAAATAACAAGGGATGTAAAGAAATATCTAAAGCATTCACTGGAATTTTGAAAGTTAATACAGTCAGACCATATTAGAACTGCAAATTCTGAATTTACTTATCAAGATGTAACAGGGTGCACGAGGATAAAGGAAAACAGTGCCTTCAACCTGCTGGATTTAAAACGATACATAGGAGCATCTAGAATTTAAAGCACAGAAACAGGCCACTCAGCCTATTTAGTCTGTACTGGTGCACATTTTACTTGCCATATGAATCTCCTCCCATTTCATTACAGCCTTTCAAATTGCCTTTCTATTCCTTCTTCTCTCATGCACTCACCCAGTTAGCTTTTGAAAGCATATATGCCATTTGTCACAACCACATCTTTGTGGTCACAAATTCTGCATGTTAGCTACAAACAGTGATCAAAATGAAGACGAGGAGTTGATTAAGTGGACAGAGAAGAGTAGGTTCAGGGAGTACTTCTTTCAACAATGAGTAGTGAAAGCCTGAAAAAGTACTTCCTTCAAAAACAAAATGCTGAGAATTGTTCATTTGAAAGCTTCCAACACTCAATTTGATACTTTTTGTTAGCTAAGGGTTTTAAAGGTCACAGACAAAGGCAGGTGGAAGGAACATTCAAATAAGCCACGATACAATTAGATTACAGAACTTGCTCAAAGGGACGAATGGTTTACTCCTGTTCCTGTGCTCTGCTGTTGGTCTAAAATACAAGACACTGATCAGTCATTACATGTGACAAAACTTCAATTCATTAATAACAGATTAATTGCATTAACACCAATATAACTGATATAAGAGGTGTATAAGTCAATCTCCAGTAGCCTTTCATGTAGTTATGTTCTGGTCTGTAACAAAAGTATGACACTTAGCTGCAAACTTTAAGGGCTGGTGCTGCTTTTTATATTAACCCACATTCTGTTTTATCCTTTGATTTTCATGCTAGCTGTCCTGACTTTTTTTGCATAGCCAAAATGTTTGAAAGGGGCTTTTGCATGATTGATGGATAAAGCCCACCTCACAACACTAAGACTTTGCCGGTGTATGTAGGGGTGATTAGTACAAAGTGCAAGCGTAGAGAAACTTCAAAGATTCACACAGTATTCAACTCAGTGACCCAAAGACAAGGTGTTTGGAAAGGCTTAGAGACCCTATTCAGACATTCTCTCACTTTTAACAGGTCTGAAGGTTAACTAGGATGCAGTCATCATTTGACAAAAGAAGAATGCAAATTTATCAGAAGTTTCTCAAGGCAGCATTGTTTTTTTCATATTCAGAAATGATCATAGTTGGGGAAGTAGCAAACAGCCTCTGAAGTTGGAGGCAATAAAGACATGAGGGGCGAGCTGTCATTGGTAAGGCACTAGGGTTTTCAATGTGACTGGGGAATTGCAGGCTTTGAGAGTGTAGCAACCTCCCATCCGCATGGAAGCCCAACAACCTTCGCTCCCTGAAAGGAAGGTGAGGCTTGGACCACTCGCACACCTGTTCCTCCGCTCCACTCACTCACTCACTCCTTCCATCCCCGAGCCCCTCTCCTCCATCCTCAAAAACTCACCCCATTCTCCTCTCCTCTGTCCCCCACTTACCTTCCCTCCATCCCCTACTGTTCTCCCCTCTATCCAATACTTCCCTGCCTCTGCTGTCCTTCTATGCCCTCTTCCCCTCCCTCACGCCCTCCACCCCTCCCTCCCTCCCTCACTCCCCTCCTCCCTCCGTGGACCTGAGGCAAAGTACCAGGCGCTAGGACCCTGCGGTCATCCAGCGGCCCACACTACGTGAACCGGGGACCGGGCCGGTGGCGATATTAACATCGCCATCGCTCTCTCCCGGAGGAAGCCGCGGGAACTCCATGAGCTACAGAACACGAAAGAGAGAAGGCGAGCACTTACGGTACTTACAGTGAGAGGAAGAAGCGACTCAATGGCAGCAGCTACAGCGGTGACGGCTTCAGAGTGTCCGCCCCCTCCTCGGTAACTCCACCACCGCGGGAAAGAGGGGGGACCAGGGAGAACACACTCACATTGGCACATCTAATAAAACAGGCTTTCATTCATCAACCCAACAGTAATAATATTATTTTAAATTGTAATATTAAAACCATGGTCATCTGATTAAAATAGTACACATTATTTTCAATAAACATGGAGATTTCTAAATTGTCCCCTAAAAACTAATGGCAGAATCCATACCCGCCCCCCCCCCCCGCCTTCGCTTGCGGACTCAGCCATTGTGGGAAAGAGGGGATTTACAGGTTGACAAAGCTGACATTGACTAGTTAATCCGCAGGCAGATGTGTCTTAACAGTGAGACATACAGTCTTATTTACTAATCTAATTTCTGATGTGGAGGAATGCTTGTCGAAAATGATTGTAGTGCCCTCCTTTAATAGCGGATTTGAAGCATGCCCCCTCCCCCTCTATGTGGAGTTGGACTGCTGACAGATGATGACGTAAGGTGGTAGGTTGGCCAAGTGGGGCCAAGGTGAGGGCGAAGTGTTGGTCAATGTAGAGAATGGTAATGTGGGCTGAGAGGAGGATCAGGGCTTGGTAAAGCATATATTTGCTAATCACGCACAAATAGAAGTTGCATTCTCAAATATTTAATGTCTGAGTTGGCCACTGGGTATGATTTCCACTGGTACTGGGGTGGAATACATGTTTCACTGCCACTCCTGGACCAGCACCGGGGGAGTGCTGCAGTGCCAGAGGCACTCTCTTTCACATAAGACTCACCATCTGCCCTCTCAATGGCTGCATGCTAAAGATCTCCTATTTCCAGGGAAGTTATATTCTGGTCAATATTCACCCAGCACAGGCGTAAGTTTCTTGTGGGAGCTGGCTATGTGTGGAATAACAAGGTGTGGAGCTGGAGGAATACAGCAGGCCAGGCAGCATCAGACGAACAGGAAAGCTGACGTTTCGGGTCGGGACCCTTCTTCAGAAATTTGCCCACATTTCACAACTGACTGTATCACACTTCAAAAGTAAAGTACTTTGGAATGAACTGGGTCTGTGGAATGTGCAAAAGAAACACAAATCTTTGACATAGAGCAGTTTTTCCGCCGCCTCCGCCTCCACGCTTACTTCTTTAACCGTGAACTAACCCTCCCTCTACTGACCCCTTCTCCCGCTTCCAACACACCCCCTCCTCCTGGACACCACCCCAAGGCCTCCTACCCTCCCTCGACCTCTTCATCTCCAACTGCCGTCGAGACATCAATCGCCTCAACCTCTCCACCCCTCTCACCCACTCCAACCTTTCCCCCGCAGAACGTGCAGCCCTCCGCTCCCTCCGCTCCAATCCCAACCTCACCATAAAACCCGCGGACAAGGGAGGTGCAGTTGTAGTATGGCGCACTGACCTCTACATCGCCGAGGCCGGACGCCAACTCTCCGACACCTCCTCCTACCGCCCCCTTGATCATGACCCCACCCCTGAGCACCAAACCATCATCTCGCAAACCATCCACAACCTCATCACCTCAGGTGACCTCCCACCCACGGCCTCCAACCTCATCGTTCCCCAACCTCGCACTGCCCGCTTCTATCTCCTTCCCAAAATCCACAAACCTGAATGCCCTGGTCGACCCATTGTCTCCGCCTGCTCCTGCCCCACCGAACTGATCTCCAACTATCTCGACTCCATTTTCTCCCCCTTGGTCCAGGAACTCCCTACCTATGTCCGTGACACCACCCACGCCCTCCACCTCCTCCAGAACTTCCAATTCCCCGGTCCCCAACACCTCATCTTTACCATGGACGTCCAGTCCCTCTACACCTGCATTCCCCATGCAGATGGCCTTAAGGCCCTCCGCTTCTTCCTGTCCCGCAGGCCCGACCAGTCCCCCTCCACTGACACCCTCATCCGCTTAGCCGAACTCGTCCTCACACTCAACAACTTCTCTTTCAATTCCTCCCACTTCCTACAGACAAAGGGGGTAGCCATGGGTACCCGCATGGGCCCAAGCTACGCCTGCCTCTTTGTAGGTTACGTGGAACAATCCCTCTTCCGTACCTACACCGGCCCTAAACCCCACCTCTTCCTCCGTTACATTGATGACTGTATCGGTGCCGCCTCGTGCTCCCACGAGGAGCTCGAACAGTTCATACACTTCACTAACACCTTCCACCCCAACCTTAAATTTACCTGGACCATCTCTAACACCTCTCTCCCCTTCCTGGACCTCTCTGTCTCCATATCCGGCAACCACCTCGAAACCGATATTCATTTCAAGCCCACCGACTCCCACAGCTACCTAGAATACTCCTCCTCCCACCCACCTTCCTGCAAAAATGCTATCCCCTATTCCCAATTCCTTCGCCTCCGCCGCATCTGCTCCCAGGATGAGGCATTCCACTCCCATACATCTCAGTTGTCCTCGTTTTTCAAGGACCGTAACTTCCCCTCCTCGGTGGTCGAGAACGCCCTCAACCGTGTCTCCCACATCTCCCGCACCTCATCCCTCACACCCCGTCCACGCAATAAAAACCAAAAAAGAATCCCCCTCGTCCTCACGTACCACCCCACCAACCTCCGGATCCAACGCATCATCCTCCGACACTTCCGCCATCTGCAATCCGACCCCACCACCAAAGACATCTTTCCCTCCCCACCTTTATCTGCTTTCCGGAGGGACAACTCTCTCCGTGACTCCCTTGTCCGCTCCACACTCCCCTCCAGCTCCACCACACCCGGCACTTTTCCCTGCAACCGCAGGAAGTGCTACACCTGCCCCCATACCTCCTCCCTCACCCCCATCCCAGGCCCCAAGAAGACTTTCCACATCAAGCAGATGTTCACCTGCACATCTGCCAATGTGGTATACTGCATCCGCTGTACCCGGTGTGGCTTCCTCTACATCGGGGAAACCAAGCGGAG